AGCAGTATATCAGGAGCAGCCAAGAAAAGCCTCATATTATATTATTACAAGAAACCCTTTCACCGCAAACAACGTTGCCTGGATTCCGGCCTGTAATAGAGGATACTGAAGGGAGGGGAGTCTGCACCTTCGTATGCAACAAACTAACGCACGTAACCCACGACTTCAAGATAAAAGCAGGCCGGTTAGAACACGTCATGGTAGAGATCGTGCCAGGTACCAGCAACCGTCAGAGCATTGTCATTCTTAATATATACAGCAGTCCAAAGGAACAAAAGCAAGGGTTCAAGACGGTTCTAAAGAAAGCTGTTAATATCGCCGGGGAATGTCCACTCGTCATAGCAGGTGATTTTAACGCCCCTAATCATGCATGGGGTTACAAGTACAAAACTGGAAAAGGAAATCGACTTTGGCAATGTGCCAGTGAACTTTAGCTCACCCTAATCACAGACCCCAGCCTACCAACAAGGCTTGGTACATCTTGCTGCAGGGATTCCATCCCGGACCTTACATTTGTAAAGAACATCAAGAAGGCCCAGTGGATGAACCTTGCTGTAGACCTAGGGAGTGACCACTGCATTTTTACCACTACCTTCTCCGTGGAGCGTAAAAAGCAGAGAGAATTCCACTTCACAGACTTGGATAAGTTCAGGAAGATAAGTATGGAAAGGGAACGAGATGGCCACAGACAAGGCTTGGAGAAGTGGGTCAAACAGATTAAAGATGACATCAAATCCGTCTCCTCCACCATTACCACAGATTTTCTGGTTGAAAGAATGGATAGCCGGCTCGCTCATCTTCTTGAGGCAAAACAAGCACTACTGAACCGTTGGAAGGGTCAGGGCCTGAACTGAAGACTGAGGAAGAAGATAGCTGAGGTAAAAAGATCAGTTGAGGAACATTGTTGCCCACTATCCAGGCAGCGATGGGACGAAATCTGCAACTCCGGCGATGGTCACATGCGCAATGGCAAAACTTGGAATATGTTAAAGCATCTCCTCAACGAAAACGCCACCAAAACAAATCAAAAGCATGTTATCGCTCGAATTTCGCATAAAGAGATTGGGCGCACTACAGAACAGCAAGTTGCGCAGTGGCTCGTGCATAAGTACCTCCCAATCAAAAAAGGATTGGCACCACCAAGTAGACAGTACCAGGGCAGGCCCAATCTAGGTCTTGAGCACGACTTTAACATTGAGGAGATCAGAAGAGCCTTGCATGCTCTCAACGGCAGGTCGGCCCCTGGACCGGACGGTATATCAAACAACGCCCTTCGTAACCTTGATGATGATTCAATTGAAACCCTGAAAGATATGATCAATCAAAATGCAGCATCGAAAGAAGGCAGGGTGCCAGAGCAGTGGAAGCTGGCCAGGACGATCCTTATTCCTTAGCCAGGAAAGCCTCCTAACTTGGACAACATTAGGCCAATATTTTTGACATCATGTATCGGCAAGGTTGCAGAACATGCCATAGTGCACAGGATAAACAAGTACTTGGAAGATAACGACATATATACACACAATATGGTTGGATTGAGGGCAGGGCTATCCACACAAGATGCATTGAAGCTTATCAAACACCAGGTCATCGACAACAAAACCAGAGACGTTAGAGCCATTCTGTGCCTAGACCTGGAAAAAGCGTTTGACAACATCCACCACTCATTCATACTCGAAGCAATTTCTAAGCTTGGTCTGGGGAAAGCCTTCTATGACTATGCATGGTCCTTTCTTACAGATGGGAAAGCCGTGATGAAGATTGCAGATATCAAGACCGCAGCAATAGAACTAGAAGCAAGGGGCACGCCGCAAGGGGCAGTGATTTCACCAATGCTGTTCAACACTGCCATGATTGGACTGTCAAAGAAATTATCGAGCATTGAAGGATTGAAGCACAGCATCTACGCAGATTACATTACCATCTGGTGCACAGGTGGAAGCGAGGGGCAGATTGAGAGCGCCCTGTAAGAGGCGATTGACACCATAGAAGAGTACCTTCGTCCTTCAGTGCTCAAGTGCTCCTCGAGTAAGTCAGAACTTTTACTGTATCGGACTGCACGCCGGGCACCGAAGCCCACGGGATGGAAGCCGTTAAACCAGATAGACATCCACCTCTGTACAAATCAAGAGGATTCCATCCAGAGGGTCGACTCCATCAAAGTCCTGGGCATGCTGATAGAGTCTTCCGGCGCCAACAGCAAATCTATAGCCAAGTTAACTTGGAAAACAGACAGTGCGGTGCACCTCATACGCAGAGTGGCCAACGAAAGAAATGGGATCAAGGAAGACAACCTCATCACATCAGGTTGATGCATGCGTTTGTTCTAAGCCACTTCACGTACGAGGCAGCAATGCACAACTGGTCAAGAGCAGAGTCTGAGACACTGAATGTGCTCCTCAGTAAAGTTATCAAGAAGGTCCTTTGCCTACCCATACGTACCAGCAGAGCGTCTACTTGAGCTTGGCATTCACAACACGCCCGAAGAAATAGCAGAAGCCCAAGAGAGCACAGTTTGCAAGGTTATCTACAACAAGGTTGGGGAGAATGATCCTGCAGGAGCTGGGTTAACACCCAATGGCGATCAGGCACAATTACAATGATATCCCCGACAACATCAGGGATAATATCACGGTGTCTTCTATACCAAGAAACATGCATCCAGAACACAACGTCGGAAGAAGAGTAGCGAGGGCCAGGACTATACTTCGTCAAGTCTCAAACGAGGAACGAGGGCTCGTATTTGTTGACGCGGCTTCCTACGCCAATGGAAAGCGTTTGTGGCAGTGGTGGTCCATGGGGCTGGCCATGTCGTCAACTCAGCGACGGTCAGGACGAAAGACCCAATCATTGCGGAAAAGGTGGCCATCACCTTAGCACTCAAGATGGATAACATTGAAGTCGTCTACAGTGATTTCATGGCAGCACTACGGGCGTTCGCCAAGGAGACGGTCTCTGAACAAACACTGAGAATACTGCAAGGCAAGAACATAACGCATCATCATCTGAGTTGGTTCCCAGCTCACCTTGGGCAAATCGACGATTCCCCTCCCAATCTCAATGAAGCAGCACACGAGGCGGCGCGAAAACTCTCCAACCGCGCCTCCCCGGGGTTGCGTTCTACCGGTGAAGGGGATAACCGGGAAATTCTTACAACTTATGACGAGCTCACTAAACATTTCTACCTCTCTAGAAGGATTTTCCCTCCACCTCACAAAAATCGAACCCGGCCCCAAGCACTTACATTAAAGGTTTTGCAAGCGCGGATGTACCCTACTTTGAAAATGTTACACACCATGTACCCTGACCTATACCCAAGTAATCTTTGTCCACATGGTGGGAAAATAGCTTCATTAGAACATATGCTCTGGCAGTGCACCAAATTCGCTCATTTATCGAACATCACCTCTGCCAGATGGGAGGCGGCAATCCGCAGCTCATCCTTGGCAGATCACCTCTGGGCTGCCCACCAAGCCCGCGAGGCGGCTGAGGAGCTTGGCATCTCAGTTCCCACGTGGGAGCTGCCCGCAATACAGTGATCTGTGTTTTGGAGGACCAAATAAAAGTTTATCCAATCCAATGTAGAGTACTTTTTGGACATGTTAACAAGAAAAACCTTTTTTTTTTGCATATGACGCCGCACTCGGAGCAATGAACGTCGACGAGACGTGCTTTCAAGAAGTTACACAAGTTTTCACCAGAACCTCCCGACAGCACAAGGCAGCGCTTCTCGAACTTATAATAAGATGACGTGCTTGTCAATTGATACGGTTTAGTGAACAGTGACATTGTTTTTCAGTAAATTCTATACTATCCTGTCAAGCGGTTTTTTATTTGCAACTTATCGGTCCTGCCTTTTCAGCATGTCCTTCGAAGCCGGCCGTGGTTTGTTTATGTCTAATAGAGACGCAATTTAAATTTCATTCGGAAAATATGATCGCGTCTATTCTAAACCATGCGACATGTAAATACGAAGCTGCAGGATGTGTTTCTTCGTTAGTCATTTTACAAAATTTTAGCATGTTACGGCCTGGTACGCTGTGTGGGATGAGAACGTAACGAGCTCAAATTGACGTGGCAGACACCTTTTTTACGTGGAACTTATCTACACATATCTATTTCTGTACTAGTGCTTTGTATGTTTGTTTTTTACGTATTTATTTATGAATGGTGGATGGACACATCCGCTTTAACGCTGTATATCCATCCAGCACTCCTGTGGCCAGCGCCACGGCATGATTCCGGGCCCATGATTCGGCAATGAACTAGACACTGGTACCCGGTTGCGCCGCGCTTCGTAGTAGGTTTGACTGGCTTTCTAATAACAATACTTCGCATTTTGAAGCATATCTAAGTAAACATTTTTTTCGTTACTAAGTACACAGAGCTTCCTTGACAATCGTAATTTTTCAATACGGATTACGCAATCTGTGAGCAGGTTCAATTGTACCTGCGAGAACAATATGCGCATCGTGTCTACATTTTAAGGCCACACAAAAACAAATGTTACAAAGTGCAACACACAATATATATTCATTTGAACAATGGCAACAGCTTTTACTGCATCAACTAAGAATCACCAAAGTAAGCACAGTGCAACAGTTCTGTGTTCTGGTTCTAAAGCAATACCTAGAACATACCTGAGTAGGAAACTTTTAGTCATTTTTGGTTCAAGAATGCTATGGCAAAACAGTGACAATGAATCACTTTTCCGCATTACAAGTTGCCACGGACAACCACTCATTGTAGTCGAGGCTACACGGGACAAGAAAAAAAAGGACCAACAGTGTCGCGAGATTTTCCGGAAGCAGCTCTAGAAAAGCATATTCTAGTGTGGTTTTCATTTTTCTAAATATATCGTCACAAGTATTTGAGTAAGTATATTCGTTTCAACCTGAACAACGCCTTATATCCCAGGACTTCCTGTCCTTAGTCTAGCATTGTTCTTATTGTCTTTAGATCTCTTTTTTATTATATATGTTGACACGGATAGGCACGCAGTGTGACATCGGGTATGATGATATTGGAATAAGACAACTAAAGAGAGGTAAGGTCTTTGCTGAACATACAAGTTTAACTTTCAGTTTACTGTCATTGGAAGTTAAATTGCAAACAACAGTATTAGTGTTAAGGGTTTTAGGTGCCGTACCATTGATTGATTATTGAACGTGTCATAGCAGAGCGCTCCACAAACTCTGAGCAGCTGATTGTGCTTTACGTCCACTGACTTCGCAAAGCACACGGACCTCCAGCCCTTTGCGCCATCAAAGTGCGACCGCAATGGTAAAGATGAATTTAGTGAGCTGCAGGTCAGCAGCATGGCAACATACCGCCAAGGAAGACCAGAGATGTCACAAATGTTGATATTAGAGCCTGTTAGCAACACAAAGCAAATGAAATATATTCGTGGCTAGTTCGTTATTTACAGAAGACTAACGTTTAGTAGCAGGTGTTTTCCTTGAGGCGTACAATTCTTGGTATCGAAGTTTCTGGTCAATGCACTTTATAGCTTGAAAAAACTGCATCATCAGCCACACAGATCCGTCATTTATTTCATGGGGCCCATGTTGAAAAAGTGGGGACAACGCATAAGAGAACGTCATTGTAGTAGGCGTACGCATTTCTCCGAATGCTATACATCTTTCAGCAGTGGCTCCTGTATTTTCTTGAATAAGCAATAATAAAAAAAGATCACTTTTGGCATGTGAGTGCATACTGCACAGCAAATAACAGCATAAGCCTCCCTCCTCACAGTATCCACGTCATTAAAAATTTTTATTTGGTTGTCCCAACACTAGACAACGCCATAGAAATCAAGAGCAGAAGTTAGGCAAATGATATGAACCTGAGTTGGCAAAAAAATGTTTAATGTTAAGAGTCGTAGGGGCTCCCATTTCAGCGAGAATTGTCTTCGTGAAAGAACCACTCTCAGGGGTTAGCCGCTGTGTGTGTTTTGTACGTGTGTGTGTTTGAGTAATTTTCAGCGTTGGTTTGACTGCACTGAAAGGGCAGTACAACTATATGGTCAGGGCAAGCGATCGATTATATTGTTACGACTTCGCAATATGCTATGCAAATGTTCGTGCCAAACAACCCGAAAATGTTACATGAAGGTAAACTAGCCGCTCAGTTCTTAATGTTCCGATCTAACGTAACTCTGCAAAACAACGGCCCAATGGAATGTGGCCAATCCAGCTAGCTAAACGGGTTTCGCGCTACTTTTTTTCTTGCTTCAGCGAAAAGTTAACAGTGCGAGGACAGCCCATGCTTATGTATTAGCCACCTGCTAAACTAAATAGAAATAGGGCGTGCCACCAGACTAGTTTGATCAAGGATCACACGTGCTGCCCGATGCCTGAGCAACCTATCCCCCCCCCCAGACCCACGGGCCCACATTAATTTTTTGTCAATGTCACTTCACACGCTCTCTGCTCAGTCGAAAGCACCAGTCCACTCTAGTTGCAGCAGTTGTCATTGTGCATTGCCACCTAAAAGGTACGGCTGCTTGCGTCACGCGCATGTAATAGCGGATCACTGTCATTGTCTTGGAGACATCGTAGCCACGCTAGCCGCAAACGTCGTGTCTCGTCGAAAGTCAGCGTGACTGTCTAGCATGTTATCAAGGGAGTTTCACTCACACGTGAAAGTGCCACTCACACGTGTATGTACAACTCATGAAAACAATAATCATTCCAAATGCAGCCGTGAAGGGCCAAATAAGGGCGCCAAATAACTCTGTCCCTTCAGGCCGTAAAGCAGGCGGAAACGCTAGCCGACAGAAAAGCGTAGGAAATGGTCGACGTAGAGGCTGATGAGTGCCTGAATCGGACGTATCCTGCTGGCATTGAAAAAGATAGAGGAGGTGCTGCCCTACACTGACCCCCCGTTATACGCCTATGCTTGACGTATATAGCCGGCTGGAGCACTTTGTTTCTGCTCGAGCAACGCCTGTGTACAGCCTTCGCAGGCTTGCACACTCCGATAGAACATACAGGAACGTTATTGATTTAGACTTTGCACGAAACATGGCGGCGACGAGAGTACGTATCAGGTGTCCATGTATTTGGTGTAGTGAAAAGACAAAGGCTCGGAAAGAAAAAAATGGCAGCATATCTATGAAGTGAATGATGGATAGTGGGGCGAAGCATCCGTCCGTCCAGTCGTTCTTGCTTCCGTCCATCCATGCGTGCGTCTGTGTGGCCGCCCATGCGTCCATCTGCCCGTCCGTGCGTGCGTGTGTTCGTGTGTCCGCACGTTCATCTGTGCGTCCATCCCTGCTTTCTTCTATGCATCCCCTTTTGCGTCCGTCCATGCGTCCATCCGTCCGTGCAGTCATCCGTGCGTCCGTCCATGCACCTGTCTGTGTGTCCGTTCGTCCACCTATTCAACACTCCAAGCACTGCCATCTCACATCTTTTCATCATATATTCCTCATATAGAAGCACCGCCATCCAGCGGATATTTCAAGGACTGAACGAGAGGAGGCACACACACACTTTCTTACGGCTTGCGCTTCGTGTCTACTTTCCACCTTTAACCACCTCGAGTTCGTGGTATATACTAGTTCACTATATTCATGGCACTACGGCCCAACGCTCGCTACACATTTCTAAAACTAAGGAGGTTACGCCCAGCGAGTATAACGTAGCAACCTTTTCTTGTCTTCTGTGCGTTGTTGAACAATGAAAAATTCGTAGCGTGCGCGTTAACTAAAAGCCGAATTTCCTGTCTCTCATTCCCCTTAGCAGCCATTGGCATGTACATTGAGCACTATCTTTTGTTCTTCACCAACGCACAGAAAAAAATCTTTCACTTCGCCTTTAAAAGCAATAGGACCGAATAGCTAGCTCTAACCAAACAACTTTATCTTTACCAGCCCTGATTTTCTAGTCCTGCGATTCTTGGTAATATAATCAGCTCCGTCACTGTGGTTGTTTTAACCTGTTCTGTAGCCTTAATACGCACAGGTTATTCACAGTCAAGTACGTACGGATAGTTCGGATTGTTGGTGTGATAAAAAGGTGATATCTTTGCCGCAAAGACACGGCGATGAACGCGATAGCAGCAAATCGTAAAAATCGCAGAATAAAAAGTGGATCAAAACGTGCTCTGCGTTTCTCACGTAAAAATCACGCACAAAACGAACTCACATGTTCAGACGCGCGCGAATAAGCGTCTCACTTGTTACTTCGCTCTGCCTGAAAAGCGCACGCTTTTCGGAAACGGTGACTGTAATTCAGTGACCTTTTCGCACCCGGTAACTACAACAGAATCGTTCCAGGTAAAGCCCGAGGTGAGCCGAAACATACGATCCTCCCCTCCTCCCCACCGTGCGATAAAGGCGCGCGAGTGAGTGCCGCTCCCCTCCTCTAAATGGGGCAACATACGCGTGGGTGGTTAGAGCGTGCGTGGCCACGCATGTGCACTCTAAAAAAAATATCGAGTAAAAAGGGTGTCTTTTTGTCCCACAACAATAATCGTCATTAGGTTTGCGTGTGCTTCCTTTCTTCAAAACTCGGCGCTGGCCACTTTTCTATTGAGAATGCAATGTAACCCAGATAATGGGCATGTCAATCGTGGCCGCAATGTACCGGGTGCGGGGCGATAGCGCAAGGATAAAATGCAATATAGATGACACTTATTGTTGTGGGACAAAAGACACCCTTTTTACTCGCTCTTTTTTTTAGTGTGGCGACGCACGCTCATTGTGCCATCTTTCTAGTAATGCTGAAAACACGATATCCCCCCCCCCCCCCGAAATGCCCATCAGCAGCGGTAAGTGGTTCATATCGGCTTGTCGTGTAAGTGCTTGTAAGTGGTTCAGCGGCTTGTCGTTTGAACGGCGATGGCCGTGCTCTTCAGTGGCTGTATTCCACTTTGGGCTTTCGAGCGATATGGTCGCTGAATGTTTGGCTCTGACGGAACGGGTTCAGTGGTTCGAGCGGGCCACGGTAACAGGATGTCTATGCCTAGTGCCGACGAATATTAGGTGATTCTGCCTAATCTACCATCCGGACGCATCATTGCGAACACCGTTTTCATGCATGGTGATCCAAGAGCTCTACCTTATCGTGTCGAAGACTACCGGGGTACTTTGGCCAAACTTAGTGCGCTCACCGACGTTGTGGTGATGTGAGAGTATCAAATGAGCCACGTTTAGGCTGTGACAATGACGAGTGCTGACGCTGCAAAAAATTGCTCTCCACCGTCGATGTGAAGGTAAAGAACCACCCATGTTTGTTTATTGACCCAAATAACCGCGAGGTTCATTTGAAGCTACACTGGCTGCTGCATGGCGGAACCGACGAAGACGTTCGTGTGGCCTTGAACCCCTACGGAAACGTTTTAGAGGTGAAGCTTAAGAAATGGAGAGCCCAGGGTGTCACCGCAAAGGACTCGACAACACGGTATATGGGCCTAAAGTTGTATTCCGACGTCAAAGACGGCGACATTTCACATCAGTTCAAGATTGCGAGAGAGCTGACCTTCGTTGTTCTTCCGGGTCATGCTCCCCTGCGCCTACGCTGCAAAAGTTCCGGGTGCATTCGACGAGACTGCATAGTGCCTCGACGCGCTCGATGTCGCCGTTTTGGTCACGAGGATGCAGACTGCACGAAGACGTACGCCAGCGTTACCGGGCTTGTCCAGGCATGGATGGATCGATGGATGTATCCGGCTGTGCCCTTAGATGATGAGGATTTGTCGCTTTGCCCTTTGTAACGGGTGAATACATACATGTTGTGTTCCAGCCTAGGTATAAAAAGAAAAGAACGAAAAAAAATTTGGAGCACGAAGAGGAGTTCACTTTTGGCACCACTTCCAGCACTGTTGGTTGGGGCCTTGTCTTTGTGGTGGAAACTGCTTTTGCATTCCGGTCCACCAAGGCTAGCGCCTGAGGTAGTGTAGTTACCTCGGGCGGGCAGGGTGAGCGTTTTTGGCATTTTATCACCAAGTGCTCAACTGTCTCCTGTTCCGCTCCGCACACTCTGCATAGGGTCGACTGGATGTTTGGGTCGAAGTGGCCATAGAGGTTCTTAATATACACTA